GGGGGGGGGGGGGGGGGGGTGTTTCAAATAAAGCAGATATATTCACAAGATCCTTGATCCCACCAAGCTGTTAGACCGGCTCCACAGCCGCTTCTAAAGTGTGACCTTATGAGTATGATGCTGTTTCTTCATTGTCCAATCAACAGACCAAAGGTGTGTGACCTCTGTTGCAGTGGAGGTTCAAGATCTGACTGTGCCACCTAGCAGGGGTGCTGGGATTACAAGACTGGCTGAACAGAAAAAACTGTGTCCTGAAACATTAACACAAATATTGTTTCTTAACGCAGAAGCTGGAGAATTGATGGGAACCTAAGCTGATGCAGGCCTCTACAGCAGATACCCTCTGACCAGATATTCTGGGCAAAAGGTGTTGACTAACCTGGCAAATCTTGTGCAATAAATTATTCACCTCAGTCCAGTAATAAGTGCCAGTGTATCGGTGCGCTTCATATTACATGTGTACAGTTGTAGGATTGCGTTTTTTGTAATTATATGAAATTCTGTGTACCTTCTAAAAGACAAGTACCCAAGGTATGTGCCATCCAAAATCGGGCTGGAGGTGCTGGATTTCCAGGAATACTAGCCTATCCTCTGGCCATTTCATTAGACGTATTTTATTTTTTGAAAGGTTATACTTCTACATGCTCTTGTTCTCCTCACTGATCCAGGATACTGTACCTGTGCAGCAGAGCCTGGTATCTTGGCTTAGTGTGGCGAAGAGGAGCCTTGTGCCCTGCGTCATAGAGGGGCAGAAGAGTCTGGTGTCCTAGGTCAGTAAAGTAAGGTGCCAAAAAGTATTGTGTTCTATGTCAGTGTGGCACTAAAGAGCCATGTGTCCTGGGTCACTAAGACACTGAAGGGCCTGGTGTCTGGGCCAGTGAAGTGCAGAAGAGGTTGGTGTCAGCGGGTCAGTGAGGTGCGGGAGAATCTTGTGTTTTAAGTCTATAAGGCACCAACGGGCCGGTTGACCTTGGACAGTGAGGCACCAAAGAGCCTGATGTCCAGGGTCACTAAGGCACTGGGTCAGTGGGGTACAGAGGAGCCTGATGTCTTTGGTCAGTAAAGTGCAGGAGAGCCTGGTGTAGTGGGCTAATGAGGAATAGAAGAGTGTGGTGGATTGTGACAATGGGCTGCAGGAGAGCCTAGTATGCAGAATCAGTGGGGTGCAGAATAGCTTGGTGTCCTGGGTTACTGAGGCGCAGAAAGCCTGGTGTCCTGGGTCAGTGAGGTGCAGAGACGCCTTGTGTCCTAGGTCAGTGAGGTGCAGAACAACTTGATGCCCTGGATTAGTGAGGTGCAAAAGGGCCTGCTGTCCTTGATCAATGAGATACAGAAGAGCCTGCTGTCCTTGATGGTGAGATGCAGAATAACCTGGTGTCCTGGGTCAGGAAGTATAGAAAAACCTGGTGTTCTGGATCAATGAGGTGCAGACGATCAGAGTCTCCTGAGTAAACTGATTAGTGGATATTGTAATAGAATCGTAAGTTCTTTAAATCACTGTATATAACCAGCGAAGGCAATTCTTTGACCTGGCAGAACAGCTGATATACAGACTACTGCGTGCCAATTCTCATAACTCAAAGCTTGCATTGCATTGTGGGAGCGTAGTTGTATCCTGCTTTAGGAGTGTTCAGCTATGCTTTTTAAGAGACAAGATGATATAATAAACTAGATTCTTTCACAGAAAGAGATATTACATTGTAAAAGGGGTTATGATATGTGGCCACTAGTAAAGTATATATATATATTTGAATATACATTATTGGTATATAAACAAAGGTATAAACAGAAAAAAGACTACACAAAAAGCAACTACCATAACACATTCACACACCGTGCACACCGGTCCCTCCCTCTTACACTGTAGATACAGTAACAGCATAATTGCATAACAAAAAGTGATAGTGCAACATAATAACATAAAGTATTACCATATCCTGTCAGCAATCAGCCAGGGATTGCAGGTTTTTTTTTCAGATTTGCATGGCAAACCTCTACTTAACGTAAGTTATATTTCTATTTAGGTTTTTAGAATTTAGCATACCGTACATGCCTAATGACTAGCAACTCTTTTAATTGCATAACAATAGCAATGAGTCCATAACAGTATACAAACAAACAACTGTAAATCCATCATCTACACATTATTATATTCATTGCAAGTAGGCAGACTATAAGGGAACAAATTACAAAACATAAATTATTAACATTATTAACATTAATAATTTACTTTAACATTATAAACATACGACTATTTTAGGCAGGCCCGTCTTTAACGCAGGGCAAAAGGGGCAGTTGCCCTGGGCCCAGTCATTGTTGTGGGGCCCAAAGCAGCCGCCACTTGAGCCTGCACTGCTCGCTCCCTACCTGGAGATGCGGGGTGTCAGTGTCCCGTCTCTTCTCCCCCTCACCATCCTGGTTTCCCTTAACTCTCCAGAGATAAGACAGACAGCAGAGATCGGCAAAGGGGACATTTGTCTGCTCTGCCTAGCAACTGATGATGCTGATGGGCGAGCTGTCAATGATGTACACCGGCCCGCCCATCACGTCATCAGTTGCTAGGCAGAGCAGACAAAAGTCATGATCTCCCGATCTGCTGCCTGTCTGCAAGTAACAGCAGGGGGGAGAGATTAGGTAAACCAAGAGGATGAGTGGGGAGAGCACGGGATCACAGGCTCAATAACAGACTCTGATCCCCTTGTAGACAGGCAGCAGGGATCAGAAGATCGGGACCTTTTTTTTAATCAGCCACTGTCTGCCTAGCAACTGATGATGCAGATGAGCGGGCCGGCTGGTCTAGGCATTCATGATAGGCTCTGATCCCTGTGCTTTGGAGAGAGACAGAGCCACAGTGCCCTGCTCCTCCCACACTACTAGATACTACTCAGGGGACACATTTGCAAGTGGCAGAGTGGGTGTTTTATCAAAGTTTGTGACTGCGTTGGAATGTGTGACCGGTGGGGTGGTCACACATTACAACGTAATCCCGCTCAGTTTGACAGCGGTGCAATGTGTGACCGCCTATTGGGTCAAGCATTCCAACGCTTTGTCGGCTGTTCCAGGGCAGATCGGCTTACTGCGCAAGTGCAGGAGAACCGATCATCTGCCTAGAACAACTGATTGGTCTGAAATGTCACTTCTATCGGACTTTGTGAATGCCGCAGAGGGGGGTGATTCACAAACAGTAACTGCAAGAGTGTGACAATCAGCCAGCGCCGCAGATATATTTTTTATATATCTGCGGCGCTGGCTGATTGTCACACTCCTTAAGTTACTGGCACA